GGGGGGGGGGAGCGCCACAGCGTCAGGAGGGACAGCAAGAGGGACAGCAGTGGACATCGATCTGAATGGTTCACTGAATTGACAAACACCCATTGATTTAGAAGACTCTTTGAATGTCTGCTCCAGGCCGGTGGCTGGCTGTTGGTCCAGCACGGGTTGGCATAAAGCAAGGACCAACCAGACAGGTAGGTGTTGAAGTCTGGCAATGCCAATGTATATGGAACCAGGGCAAACCATGAGAGGGCCCCTAACTTCCCAACTATAGCTTCACTCTCAAAAGGGCAGACATGGGGTGGGGAGGGGGAAATCCCTCCCTGGACACCACCATCCCCAGAGACATTGCCAACCAGCCCACCCCCACCTTGGGTAGGAGACAGAGCCAAGGGCTGTACCAGTAAACCTCTGAGTTTGAATGAATCTCTCCTGGAGGAGGGGGTGGGAGGGGACACAGCTCACAGCTTCAGGTTAGGAAGAAAGAGGACCGTGCAAACCGTCAGCCCACCTGGCTGCTAGCCCAAAGGTTGGCGGTGCCCTGAAAAAAGGCCTGTCAATCTATTCCTGAAATAAAAATCAGCCATGGAAAACCATGGAGCAGTTCTGCCCCACACTCACGGGGCCGAGGATGTACAGCAGAAGCAGACATCCAAGTCCGAGCAGCGTCCCTGGTGGCACAGTGGTTAAGCGCTAACCAAAATGCCGAAGGTTCCCGCTTCCTAGCCATTCTTGGAAGACGAGGGAATCGGCTTCATAAATCGTACAGCCTTAGAAACCCTATGGTGTGTGTGTGGGAGTTGAGGGGGAGGCAGTTCTCTGTACCTATAGGATGGCTATTGAGACCAACTGAACGGCAATGGTTTGGTATTTGGTTTTAGCACCCTGTATTGGGCCCTGAGTGCCCTAAGGACACTTGCTGCCTGGAATCTAAAGGTGGCACATCTTGTCCCTGGAGCTGGGGCAGAAGGCGCCATTTGGACCAAGTGAGTTGAGAGACTTGGGGGGAGAGCCACCTTGGGCCTGGGAAGTCAGAAAGAGGTGGTCACATTGGCCTGGACATTGGGGAGGAGATGCCACCTTGGCCAGGAGAATAGGTAGGAGACATTTATGCCCTAGGGCACTGTCTGGCGCCTGAAGGTTGGCCCACAGAGGGGCTACAGAGCCCAGTACAAGTAAAGAGGTATAAGCAGGTCAGGTAAAGCACTCTAAGGCAAGAATCTATGGGTGGAACCCTAGAAACAAGATCGGCTTGGGGAGGGGGGCTAAATCAGAGGCAGTTAAAACAGGACAGAGAGCTAGAACTAAATCCAGGTGAGGGAACCAGGAAGTAACAGTCACAGGGAGGGGGACAAGGGCCCAGGCTAGGGGAAGAAATGTCCCTGACTAGAGCTAGGACTGGAGGTGTTGCCTGGACTGTGACAGAGGGTGCCTGAGAGTCATACTGGGGACTATTGTGGGAGCCACCGGGGCAAGTCCCTGTAAGTAGAAAACAAACTCAGAAAGGCAGAATGCAGGGTGAGGCGGGGGCAGGGATCCCCCCCCACCCGGGGCGGAAATGGATGGGAAGTTAGCAGAATTACTCCCTTCCCCGCCGCATCCCCCTGCCACCACCCCCCCCAAAAAAAAAGAAAAACAAAAAATAACTCAACTCACTGCCATCGAGTCGAGGGCGACTTACAGTGGCCCTACAGGACTGGCTAGAACTTCCCCTGTGCGTTTCCAAGGCTGTAATTCTCTACGAGAGTAGAAAGCTCCGTCTTCCTCTTGCTGAGCAGCTGGTGGTTTCGAACTGCTGACGTTGTGTAACCAGTACACCACCAGGGCTCTCGAGACACACTTAAGAGCAAAATCCAGGGCCGTGGGCTGGAATCGGATCCAAGGGGCAATGTGGGGCCGAGCAGGCACCCCAGAACTTCACTTAAGGGGTGGGGTTTGCACTGCAGGCAAGGTGGGGTGGGGGGGGTGCGCTATACCTACAAGGAGGCCAGAGCCAGGTCTCTGAGGCAGGGAGGTGTGCTAGGCTAGGCTCGCGGTCCGGGGTCCTGCTTGGGTTCTGTCCCCGGAACGCCGCGGATGTCTGGCAGCAGCCGGCAGCCGGCCACGATGTCCAGGCGCTCGGCCAGCGCGCAGAGGTCCCCCCGCGCCAGGCGCACGCTGTGAGCCGCCGCCAGCCCTGCTGCCTGGGAGGCGGCCAGCCGA